GGAAAAGAGTTTGTTCGCAAAGAAGCCAACAGTGAAAATACAACTGATTTGGTACACTATCCAACCAATAGGAATTATGTAATAAAAGCCAGTATGGAACTTCACAAGAAAAGGAAAGCAATGCGGTGCTCATTAAGACATAAGAAACATAGGGAATACCTCTGCACCACATCTTCGATGTTGTGCATAAGTAGTAATGTACGCATGTCAAAATCAACTCTTGGTAGTTAAAGCAATAGTATTTTCTTCCAGTTCTGCAGCTACCTTTTCTGAGTGATCTAGGACAACAGGAGACAGAGAAATTCCCTTCCCAAATAGAATTGTACAGGGCCACAGAGCTGTTCATTGAAGGAGCTGCACTACAAATGGCTTGCATCACCATGTGTGCTGCACCACTTCTTGTAGCTTTAGAAGATAATTTTCTGTGTGACTTCTTGCATAGTCTAATGTTATCCTTCTTCCTAGTTCAGTGCCCAGCACATTAAATAACTGAAGATCCCAGATTTATCCTGCTTTAATTTTGACACAAATGGTGGCACAAAAAGACAAATCTGGTTGTGATTCAGAATCTTTCAAATTCATATGAAAACACAGATAAGTCAAAAGGCACGTATGGCTATTTGTTTGTTTATTTTTTCAGGGAGTACTGGTTCACAGATTGTTCTTCGTTTTTGTGCCATGATATCTATGGATGATGACAGGTCCTTACGTTTCTGTGGTAGCCAAAGGGAAGTCCAGCCACAGAGGCATCCCTTAACTCTATTTTTTAACCCGCTTCCTCTCTCTAGCATACATTTATCGCCTATGTAAGTGAATGTGTTTTGCGACTCACTAAAGCGTAAATCACTGTATCTGCCATCAGAAGACAAATACGTATCTCTAGCAATCTAGTCTAAGCAGGAACTGAAGGTTTCTAAGGATGTAGAAGAGGGCAAGCCATTTACATAAAAATCTTTGCCTTCACACATTCCTGAAAAAGTGAAGCTAAGTAGATGTATACCTTTTGAGTTCGTGTGTGTTCTTTCATATTACTGTCATAGGCGATGATGTCTTTGTACCAGACACAGTTCTCTTCAGAAGGAATTTACAGTCTAAGATGGATACAAATGTATAGCTGACTTGCAGAGGAACAGAGATATTGGTCATCATGCTACTCAGCAGTGAGTTCATCCCCCAGTTAACGTTTTTGTGTGGCATTCTTTCAAGAGAAGGTTTTATGAGCTGAAAGAGAACATTCAAAGATGTTTATAGGAAGTTCTTAACTGGTATCAGGAAATTATAGGAGAAAGCATCAATGCCATTTTGACTGTGCTTGGGAGGTGAAGGAGCGTAATATTCAAGGCAATATGAAGAAGAAATTAATCTTTCAGTTGTTCACAGTAGTAGCTAGGGTAGGAATAGGCTGAAGTGAGCCCTTGAAGGTGATGACAAGTACCATATAGTTGCTGAGGTAGTAAAAGGATGTGTTGTGGGGCAATGCAAGGAGGGAAAGGGGAAGTGATCTTTCTGGGAGCATTCCAAAAGAAACGCAAAATAAACAGGCCATTCTTTAGCCGGTGAGATACTAAAGCAGCAGGTTCGTCTTGAACTGCAGCTAGTTTTTAATTTGCTCTTCAGAGCTAATGTTATTTTCAAATAGAAACTTTAAGTGCAAAAGAAAAATGCATTAATACCAAATGTTCTGTATCCCACCAGTGTTCCACATACTTGAAAAAGATGGGCTTTCCCAGCTGTAAACTGTTTCTACATCCTTGCCCTATATGCTAGTGTAAACTGCGATGCTTAATAAACTCTACAAACTCTGACAGTATCCACCATGCTCATATCAGTACAAGATCAGTAGATATCTTTGATTTGTATATGTGATTAAAAGTCACTGAAATATCCATGTTGTATTTTTGTTCTGCTGTTAAGTGTAATAGGAGTTGTCTGGGGAATTGATACTTGGCATGAACAGCTCCTACATGTATTTCAAACTTTGCTTAGAAGAGTGGAATAGAGTCAGCAGCTGAGGACAGGGGTCAAGTCTGGATAGTGCTTCTGGTGCCCTTGAAGAGCCTTTGGTCCCAAATAGTTTTTGCAGGAAGGTGGAAATACTCTTTGGAAGACAATAAAAGTGGCAGCAGTCGTGGTTGAGAAGGTGAGGGAATACATGCAGGACAGCTTTATCTATCTACCAATATTTCATTCAATGCCTGAGTCTACTTACCTCAGGCAATGCTAATCAATGGCAGCTCACCTTCTCTTTTGGAGCATGCATGCTACTGAGCTGGTAATACTTTTTTAGGGACAATAATTTAAAGTTGCTGTGGATGATGGAAACTACCAGGAGACTTGGAAACTACTTCATCCTCTCAGTTCTGGGTTTTCCTTTACCAGAAAACCACTGAGAAATCTTAAAGAGAACATGGAGAGCATTTGGAGAATAGGAAAGGTGGCCAGAAAACAGGAGTCTTGAAGAAGAGCTTAAAGGAATCAACTATGACATAGCTTAAGCTATGAAGAGGGTGCCAAAGTGGTACCTGAATTATTTATGATCTGTGAGATGAGAAAGTTAGGCCAATGTTGGAAGAAAGTAGAAATTATTTGAAGTTCAGTGGTGTTGTATAGCATTTGGAAGAACCATTGTTTGTGGTATTTTGAAGTAGATTCAGGCACTAAGAAGAATTAATTGTTTGGCAGAAAGATGGTCTTCTATCAGGCTGTGATTAGAGCATACGTCATTGATTGACTGATGACTGCATTGCAGGGATCTGCCTTTTCTAGGCAATGTGGCTCCAGGGAAGTTGCTAAAGTCTTTTTTACTTTGAACCATAGCAAAACTAAGCATCTGCTTTTGCCTGGGGGAGTATTTTGGTCATTGTCTAATGCACCATTTAAGTATTATATGCAGGCGGGATCAAAACCTTAGCCCTTCTTGCATAATTTTCATTTTTCTTGTTCTGCCTGAGTGTGTAGCACAGTTTTCAGGCATACTTCTGGCTTTATTTCTTTCTGTGTCCATCCTTACTGTACAGCAGTCTCCATTTCCTTCCCATTTCAAATGACTTTTTAGCAAGCCCACAGTGAAATCACTATTAGAGCACTCCTGTCAGTAGCTTCAGTTCTGGGCTAAAACATAAGATTATGGCATTAGACTGCTGGGCCTGAAATACTTATGTATTTCGTGACCTTCTACTGCTACCTTAGCTTGCTTAACCTATGCTGTTCACCTTTAAAACCAGCGTCTTTCTAGGAGGCAAGTTCATAACAGGACTACTCTGTCAGATTGTGGAAGTTTGATTGTTCAGTCAATTTCTGTGTAAAATAATTATAGTTTCTTACAGTAATCAATTCAAATAATGCCTTCTATTATTAGTGCAAAAATAGTCTTTAATTAACAAGTTTAAAAAAGGTGTGTATTGTACGGGCTTCTTAGCTATGATTCAGGTAGTATCACTTGGGAGTTTTGAGTCCAATGTGACTAATTCTTATATTGCTGCTAATTTTTAAAACTGTAGATTCATTTTCAGAAATAATACCTGCCTTTTAGCAAAATTTTGCAGAAATGAAACAAAAAAGATTGTATATTTTATTTCTGTATATATATTTTATATATAAAACTAGTGTTCCTCTATTTTCTTGTTCTTTTCTCCTGTCTTTCATTTTTAAAATCAGTTTTCAGTTTCAGAAAATCCTTGAAAATTTTTAATGAAAGAAAAAGAAAAACAGGTTTGGAAGCAGATAGCTGAAAGAAACATGCCCTCCGTTAACATACTGAAAATGGCTCCACATGTCATTTTTTTCTTACAGCATTATAATTTTCTAGAATGTAATGGAAGTGAAAGCTATATGGTTGTTTAAAATAGATGATCTCCCCTCTTCCACCCACACACATACTTAATTTTTTGCAGGGAGTAAGAATCCCGGAGTAGGCAAGGAAGTAAGTACTGCCACCATCAGTGGCTTCACACAGGTGATTGATGTGCACAGTACTGACCATTCTGGCTTTGTCCTAGCAAAAACATTTAGGCTCATGCTTAACTTTAATCATGCAAGAGGTCCTGCTAAAGTGAAACAGAATTATTAGCATCTTTAATACTCTTCTGGCTCATTCTCTGAGTCTTGAGCACTCTTTGTGGTCAAATTTCATGTGTCCAACATATTCTTGCAGAGCAAGAGTGACCATTAATGCTAACTAACGGTGAACTGTAAAACTTAAGACAAATTTCCTTTTTGTCTGGCTGGGAGGGAGAACAAATATGTTGGTATAAACTGGTGAAGCTGATGTAGTTGCATTGGCGTAAGTTCAGAATTTGGGACGGGGCGGAGATGCGAGTAAAGCTGTATTGTACTTCTGTGGTTTTGATTCACAGAGGTTTGTGCGAACTTAGGTAGCTGGTGCACACATGGGACATCATCAAAGAGCCCAACCAGAAAGTCAGAGCTTGGATTTGGAGTGCTATACGGCTATACATTTAGAAGCATGTTGTTATAGTGAGGCAAGCAAAGCATCCTTTCATTAAAACAGGTAACTACAGTTTATTTTCAAAGTTTATTTTTATATATTACAATCTGCAATGTAGTAAATATAGATGCTTTTTAGACATTTGATATTTTCATTATTCTTGACTGTTTATACTGCTTGTAAAGGACTGGAAGGGTCCTCCTGTAAGTTGCTGAGTTCAGACTACCACTGCTATTGGCGTCATATAAATTTCTTCTATAATCTATCCTTTTTTATAACTGTGGATTTGGAAGTCTGTTCTAGACCCTTACTTAGCCAACACCAGTATACTTTTAAAAAATAACTTGAAAAAACATTTTCAGCCTAAACTTATTCATAACCAGTTTTTTCTTGATTTTCAGTGTGTCAGGATTGTCCTTAGCTTAAACAGTCTCTTCCTCCTACTGTTCTCTTCCCTGTTCACAGATTGTTTTGCTAGGATAAACAAATTGAACTTTCTTAGGTTCCCGTTACAACATAGTTGCTCCATTCCCCTGAACAACATAAAAAGGACTTTCTCTACAGCTGTTGTAGTTGAATATGACCTTTTATTTTTTAATGTGGATGAAGAGAACTGTAAGCTATTGGACGTATCTCTAAGAAATTAAGAAATTAATTGAGAAATTAAATTAATTAGGAAATACTGATAATTTGCCTTTTTGTATTTTCATCACACTAGCAGCTCAAAGTCCTTAAACAGATGCAATGAGGTCCTGCTTTTCTTCCTCCTGAGTTTAGAACTGAAGTTTCTGTTTTTAGCAGAAGCATGACCTTATGTTTTGTATTATTGAATTTAATCCCATTTCTATTAATGCAGTCCGTAAGGTTGAGCAATTCTTTCTATATAATAGTCTTATCCTTCTCAGTCTTTACAGTACCTTCCACCTTTATGTCATCAGGAAATTTCATCAGCATGTTGCCTCGTGCCAAAATAATTAATGAAAACGTTAAGCAAAAACTGTCCCAAAACAGATCACAGAAAAGCTTCCCTTGAGCCTGTGCTTCCCTGTACAAATCATCTTGCTCTTTAGGTTTTCTAACATCTTATCAAATATGTACATGCTGAAGCAAAAAACAACTAGGTATTTTACAGAACAATGTAACAGTCCTTGTTTACGTCAGTTGTCCTACTGGAGTAATTTCAGTAAAGCTTGCAGAATGCATTTTATAATCTCCATCCCTGGGTGAAAGAAATCTTCTTTCACATCAAATGCAGCTCACTCTGTTAGACCAAACAAATAGGTAATAGTTAACATGAACGTTTTTTTAGAAATGAAATACTTTTAAATGAGTTGTAATGGCAACTCGCTCTCATATATACCTTTTGTTTATATATTTCTGTATGGAAGTTAATAACTGGTTTTGTATTGGAATTTGTGAAAATCTTTTGGCAAAACCCACCATCTGTCAGCCTACTGTGTGCTTAATAATTAAACTGCAGGGTTCTGTTCCTTAATAAGAAAAGAGCAAGAAATATGATTAATAGCTAAGCATAGTCAGATAACCAGTGTGAACAGCATTATCCCCAACAGAAAAGTGAAGTGATTCTATAACAGGAGATGGAACTAGGTAAACATCACTTCATCATGTGACAATTGCTGTCCTCATTGGCAGTCTCTCAAAAGAGCATCATAGAGGGTCACAATTCAGCATCTAAAGTTAGAAATGGTATAAGGCTGATAGTAACGAGGGCCAACATGCAGCTGCTAAGGTAGATTCCTAAATCATGCAACACAGCTGCCTTGATACATGAGAATCAATTACTGAAAACCTTTCACGATGGTCAAAATGTGACATTAAATAATTGAGTATCACATCAAATCTTGTCTGCAATTAGTTATCTGGAAAAGTAATTATGCAACAAAATCAAGTAGCTGAAATTAGTCATGTGAAGAACCCTGGTTATTCAAAGACTGCAGGAGAGGATTTTTTTTTTTTGTTTACTTGTAACATGAAGTTTTAAGCACCTAACTAATTCTTTATTGAATTAAAAAAATCTTGCTCGATTGTAATTCTTGTCATTAGTCATATCTGCAATAGAAGACGCATTGCACATGAAATAGGATTTAATGACTAAGTTTGTTTTGTCTAAAGTAAAAATGATTAGCTGTGGAAGAGAATGTCTTGCAAGTAGTACATTAAAAAGCAAATCTGTTTTGTTTAGGGGGGAAAACAGCCTAAATTTTGGTCTTTTGTCTCTTACACTAAGAGTGTAAGTTTAATTGGAGAACAGATATGAAATACTCCAAAGGTCAAATTCGTTCTTTTTAAAAAAGCTATGATAAATGTAACAACATAGATGTTGTGAAAGGTTAGAAAAGCCATTAAAATGTAATTTACACTAATAGAAGTAGTTAGCTCAAATATTCAAAATAAGCAAGAAAAATATAATGAATCAAGCCAGAATATGTATCTGGTGTAACAGACTTAAGTTTAAACTCTCACATGAATATTGTTTAACAGCTTATAAATATAGGGAAACATTTATTTATGCAATCATGATAAACCTGATTATTTTTAAATGGCTTCTAATAGTAACTGTTGTCATGCATATGCCAGAACTGATAGGAAAATTAATTCTAATCAGTAGATCTGTACAGAATTTGATCTGTATGTGTGTAGTACTTAAAAATCTGAACTGTTAGAGAGTAGTTGGTTAGTCATGTTACTTAAGCTGGTCCCAAAATAGCACCTTCCTTTTTTGGTAGAGTTAGGTTTGCAGCTGTTGTCTCTATCTGTTGTCTCTGAAGAAAATTTTAACATTAAGAGTTGCTGACGTCAATTTTTTTCTTTTTTTTACAGCTGATGTGGGCTTTGCCCCTGACAGAAGTTATTTGGTTCTAGCTCTGAGTTTGGAAGAAGTTGGTATATAGATTTTCCCCTAACTTTCAATTGATGTGTTTAGCTTTAGTGGGAGTAATACTATCACTTAAACCATGTTGTCGTCTCAAGGAGTTTTGCTACATCCATATGGAGTGCCAATGATTCTGCCGGCAGCACCATACTTCGCTGGACTTGTTCAGGTAATGCAAGGCCGCTTCCAACAAGCAACTTAACTCTAGTGCACTTAGAGTAATAATTGGAATTTTTATGGTTGAGAAAGCAAACACTTTTAATACAGGCAAAGGCTCTCATGTAGTCAGTGAGAAGACAGTAGGAAATCAAAAAGATGGATCACCCTAATCTGTGTATTGACATCTCTCATGGCTGAATAAATGGTGTAGTTGAGCTATATTTGCTTGTATTGATTTGTCTGCTGTTTAACATTCATGCCTTTGCTTCATGAGGTTGACCACAGGGCAGAGGATTTGCTATCCATTCTAGGTTTCTGAGGGAGTCAGCATTCCCACGGCAGGTCATAAGACAAAGTAACTTACCATGATGTGTTTAGGTTAAGTGTTTTAGCACAGCAAATATGAATAGTGTTAAATATGCATTAATTCATATGTTATGCGTCACACTGAATGAAAAAGGGTTTGTGGTTTTGTGTGTATAGAAATATATCACCTTCACAGAATATTTATGCACATCACATTAATTCTTTTGAGCCCTGAAAGTGTAAGATCTTGCTTCAGGGCGAGAGTTTCTGTATTTCAGAAATTAACGGGCAATTACTAGATTTAGTTGTTGTCATGTTGTCTGGTTTTTATTTTATTCTATTTTTATAAAAAAGTGGTACTACTGAATTTTCTGGTGTTAGACTTAGGATTTTGAATAGACCATGTAGACGGTAATTAAGCAAAAAGTATTCTGTTGTTTACAGTATTAGAAGACACTAAGAAAGAATTCAAGTAACATTTCCATTTCATTGACAAAATGAAAAAAACAATGTACCCTATAAATGGCAGTAGTTAGATATTATGCATTAACAGGATCGAGAGAGACGAATATTACAGCATTTCTGTGTCATGTGAGTGATCAGTCAAATTAGCTGTGGAGGAGAGGCAAATTTTCCTTATGCTCCTTTACTACAACAGTTAGCTGGCATAGAGGGGCAATCACAGCATGAAACAGTTTTTTTTTCCATATAGGTCCATTCGGTAATCAAAGACTGTGAGTTGTGTTCTTCACTTTAGGCTTAATATCAGACACATATGTCTAAAATAGAAATATAGCATTGTACAGTGGCCATTATCAGATATTGAAAAACTGTGTCGTCTGGGACATGCAAGCTGATGCTATTTTTTTATGCAGTGAGACACGGTAGCACACTTAGACATATCCAGCAGGCCTTCATATCCATTAGAATTTGGGGGTGAAGGTCGGACGCTAGAGCTCAGTCAGACCCTGTGCCATCCTGTCCAATAAATAATTACAAGCAAATCGTGCCTTTCACTCTATGCTGATTGTTGTTGAAATTGCTTTTGAAAGTTCTCATAAGTTCCTGTTATAGATTAAGTGCTGGTGTAGGAAAAATAACTGCACCCAACTGAAATGGGTGAATGTAATCAGGTTTAATGGACTCGAGAGCTTGTTGGGAATTAAATAACTATTGATTTGTTGGAAAGTTGCTGTCATTACAAAATGCCACTCTGGACGCATTATCCAAGCAGATAGATTAGAAGAAAGCGCCCTTTGAAAATTCGGGATGCCTTATTTCAAATCTTTTTTTCTTTTCTTTCTTTCCTTAGAAAGAAGTATCCAGGCCTATGCTACTCCATTAGCATAGGTCTAAAATAGTAAAGCAATAAGAATTGTTCTACAGAAAAATAGCTATGTTTACAGGTACAGTTGAAAAATGTTCTTCATATGGATACTTCTTTAGTCTCTGCTCTTCTCTCCCTCTCCCTAATGTCGTACCTGAAAATTGCATTTTGGAAACAATAGAAATACTTGAGTTACTGTCTTAGTGGGTGAACTAGAACATTAAATAGTTTAACCACTTTCTCACCCCAAGTTTTCATCTGCATTTGCAGTATCTGCAATCAGCTTATGATACTAGAATGCTTATTGTTTGTCTCTTAGAGTAAACCTAAGTAATGTATCCAAAATAAATAATGCAAAGGACATTTGACAGGCATATTTATACCATCCTTTTCTAAGCAGTAATTACATAATGTTCAGAACTTTAATGGAAATTTTCTTCAAAAGTATGCCTTGATAAACTGATTATGCAAATGTTTTTACTGGATTGCAGGTTGAGAGCCACAACCCTGAAGTATTTTCAAATACAAGGCTGTTTTAACATTTTAGAGGCTTATAGGATTGCAATTTATTTATTTGCATGGATTTCTACAGAAAGTAGATGTATTTCTGATTAGGGACTCCCCATGATTTCCAATTGGATTTACACCAAGATTGCATATGAAAATATGAAAATATGTAGAGTATTGCATAGAGATTTGGGGGACTATTTTGGGTTTCTTCCTGTTTTGTCTTGCATGGTTGAGCAAGAGAGAGCTCAGATCTCTGTGGAGGACTGTTAGTCTTCAGGGGTTCTGCACCTTCAAGCGCTGTATATTATTTTACTTTATGCTATGTATGTGCAGCCTTTTCTAGCCTCTCCTCCTAAATTCAACAGTAAATTCTGTCCTACATCCTTGCTTGCTTTTGTCACACCGTCTTGTTACAGAGTACTGGAATGTGTGAAACTTAGGATAAACAAAAAAGGGCAGATACTGTGGATACATCTCTGGAAACACTTCAGATAAACTTCCATGTGTATTTTCCCAATTGCATGTATTATTCTATTACGAAGATTTGTACTTCTCTTACTGAGATCATATGTTTGAGTGAGACGATGAAAAATGGAATACATATGTTCTTGGAGAGAGAGAAGGTAGTTGTTCAGAGTTACAGATATGTCAAAATGTATCAAATTATGTTAAATATACTTGCAAACTTAGTTTTATTTTCCAATAAATAAATATACCTTTAAAAAACTTATTAGAATGATGGTATTATTATTGCTTATGATTTCTTAACACATTTTTTTAATGGGAAAAATAAAATATGTTTTCTTCTCCCTTATTCCTCCTGGATGAAACTGTAGGAGGAAAAAAATCACATGAAAGTACAAATGATGCATAAATAGCATTATGCCTCATGTGGGTGGAGAGATGTTTTCTGACTTGGCAGAAAAGATGTACTGGCGGTTTCACAGGCTGTCACAATTACACTGCCATGAGGACCAAAGCAGGTATTGCAATCCAGCAGCTGCATATTCTGTGGACAGCAAGGCCTACTTTGTCTCAAAACTATCATGCTGTTTCTCCTGGCAGGTGAGATAAAAAAAAATGCCATAGAGGATTAAGTGTCAGTCCAGTAAAAGACTTCTTACCCTGCTCTTGGTTTATATCCCAGTTTTGTCATTTGATTCCCATGAGGGAACCCTTACGTCCAGATAAGCAGTGAAGTCAGTAGCGTGTCACATGAAGAAGATCCTTCTGCATTGGCCAGGGTGCAGGACCACTGCCCTACTGTCAGGAAGTGTGGCTGTGTGCTACTGTACCGTCGTACATGTTCTCAGAATTAACATGTGAAACAAAGTTCTGTTTATCATTAAAATTACAAAGTGCAGCATCAAAAAAACTCTTTCACAATTCATAGAAGTGTAGTATGTCTTGTAGAATAATAAGTCAAATGTCTCCATATTAGCTTCATCTTTCATGGTTTGGAGTGTTTTAGGTATATAAAATCTTTGCAATTGCTCTGGATACTTGGAATGTTAGGATTATGATGAAATGTTTTAAAAACACAAGTGCAATATATGACATTTTAATGATGGATGTGAAATTATTTAATACATGGCTGGTTTAGGTGGCTCAATTTCCATTTAGCAGAGAAAGAGGAGTTCATAGGCATTATTATAAAAATTACTAAAGTTGAAATTTCCTAGACTTTTCAGTAAACTACTGGAAAATTCTAAATAGAGACACAGTTCTATTTAACACAAAACGTACTACTTAAATTTAAAGATTAAAAAGATGGGGTTTTTTTTCTGAATATGGTCAGTATTTTTTTAAAGCATGCTTTTATTTTAGCATAGTGACCAGAAAAGCTCTAAGAGTTCTGAGGGTTTAAGCTTATGTTCATTGTTAAAGACTTCAGCCAGTTAAGCTAAAAGCTTTTCTCCCGCTTTTATTTGCTTTTTTATGTTGTGGTGGTAAAGGAAGGTAGAAAAAAAGTAGGAAATAGATGGCTGTCGATTAACTATTTTAATAAACTGGCAATTACTGTACTTTTAAGTACATTATTCTTAAGCTTAAATTATTCTAAAGATATTTCGATTATATCTGTGCATCTGGTTTTCCATAATCGGTTAACTAGTGTGTTTTCCTGACAACTGGAAAAGTGGTGATCTGGAGACAGTTGCATTTTATTTTAGGGCTAAGTGAGAGAATTGCCTAGAATATGCTGTGAAAAGTAGTGCTGCAGATTTCTTCACAGTTCCATCTTTACCCATCTGTAAAAATCCTTGTTTTAGTGCTGTATTGGGAAGTGCTAGTAGCGAATACATTCAGAATACTTGTAGATGACGGTGTGTTAGGCTACCTGCAAACTCACACTCACTTTCTGGCAGTCCAGTTTTGGAAAATGTTGTGGATATGTTGTGTGACCTTACATTAGAATGTCTCTTGTAATTTAGTAGGTTTTATTTGAATAATGCATTTAAAATAGAAATTATGAGAGGTTTTAGTTCTTCCCATGTTGCCTGAAGTGGTGTATAGTTGTTTCAGTTGTTTTTAGATTACAATCTAGTGGAATGCAGTACATAATTTCTGTTTACATTGGCTGAACTGCCTATTTGAAATGCAGGCAAATAAATGTGGATTTATTCTGGCTTGATTGTGTTGTTCTGTCTTTGCAAGTGATAAGGGTCTGTACTCCCAGCATTTTGTGAGTCAAGGACTAACATTTTTACTACTTCAATCACTTTTCATCTGAGTGTGTATTTTGTTCTGTTTTTGACAGAGTATATCTAAAATTTCTTCTCTCTCTCAGTCTAAGAGTTGCAAAGTTTTTCTCCCTTCAAGTGCTTTTAATAGGAGATGTAAGGTGCTGGTGATAGTGGTGGATATGG